GAAACTCTGTCTTACTGATAACCTGCACCAAAATTCTTGGCACTGATTGCTCTCGTGAAAGTGGTTAGATAAATGAAATATCAATTGTAACTCTGAAGCCAGTTTTATGTGATCCAGGTTTCTGTTACTTGGTGTAATTCACTGTAATTTTTTTCTTGAATTCACACATTCTCTTTATTTAAAAATCATGCAAATTAAATATGTATGATGCTATTATAAACCTATTACCTAAAATTAAAATTATTAATGACTATATATGAAGAAAATAACAATAACAACACAAATTTCCACACACTAAGCATTTTTCTACGGATTGCTGAGGGTTTACAGCTCACCTGAGTGAGGTGAGCGACCCCCTCTGAGAGTCACTGGATAGAGGACACTCTGCAGACCAGGGCATGGCACCTGCTTACCCTAGGAAAACGGACTCACATTAGATGTCTCTTGAATTGAATGGATGAGGCAAAACAGGCATAATTCCAAGAACTAAGTGCTAAGTCTCAGTGCAAATGGCAGGAGATGGAATCCTCCATTTCCTGGTGAGGAAGGAGCACCCTACTTAACTTGGTGACTCATAGTTATTTGGGCCTCGCTGGCCTATGGTGTTTTCTCACACTCAAGTCCGTAATTGAACCAAGGGAGATCCCGCTGTCCCCTGATTAATTCCACCCCACTTGTCGTTCTTGCCCCCCATGCCTGAGAATGGACTGACAGGGGTGCTCCTCTTACCTAACCTGCCTGCAGGTGTCCTCTGGGCCCAAACTGTTGGTGCTGTTTTGTTGACCTAGTTAAAAACCAGCTTAAAGTCTAAGTACCCAGGTCTTTTTTACCTGGGAAGATTCTTGTACTTCAGACAAAGACACTAAATTCTTCTGGCAAAAACTGCAGTTATATGTAGAAGACGGATGTTATGACTAGACAGATATAAATTCATGTTGGTACAGTGTGAATTCAGATCTGAGAGTGAAGGCAGCAAGGTATTTCCTAAAAGTGGCCTTTGAAAGCTACTTAGTGACATTAACATCTGCATGCATGTGTTACAGTCTACAAATATATAAAACCATTCTTAAGTAGGAAATATGGAAGAATAAGTGGGTTTATGTCTATGTGGGGAAATGAGAGATAGAGGGCCAACAAAAAGCATCATCCTATTATTGATTAAGAAACCCCAGCACCACAAGGGTGTAAGTGTGCCTGGCAGCCACACATCAGCACCGCCCCCATCACAACAGCTCTGGCAGTTCCCCAGGGAACCGGAAGTACATAAACACGGCTTGAAGGAGTAGAAGGAAGGAAGGAAATTCCACCAAACAAGGAAAGAACCAGAAGTAAAAAGGAAACATAGACAGAGGTGCAGCTCTGCCTACAAGAACTCACAGCAAAGGGGACACAGAAAATTCTTCAACCCTAGGGGATAAAGTAGGTCGATTATTTAATGAGAGACTTCTGAAACAAAGGGATGCTTAGTGTTTGATTTATGCACCGTAAACTATATATCCGAGTGAAGCAAGTAGGGGCATTCTTGTGGGGATGACTTTAAGTGCTAGGGAAAACATCAGTGGGAAATTACGCGATGTTTAGAGCAGGTTTTCCTAATATCTAAGGAGACTCGTGCTCAGTAAAAAGAGGCACCAAAGACTGGCAAAGAACAAATTCACACAGGACAGTTCCTTCAAACTACATCCTGCTAGGAGGATGGCAGAGCCAGGGCTGCATGGACCCGCTTTTCAGTACACCAGGCCAGCAAAGGCCAGTGCGACAACATGCTGATCGGACATGTGGCATGCCCACACTCTTCCTCATCTCTACTTCTGTGAAGTGAAACCGGAAGTGCCTTACACACTTACAGCACATTTCCTTTTCCAGGGGACACATTTTTATTATAACTTTTTATATTTTGCCTTTCTTTGGGGAAAACCATTTCTCCCACCAGGCAACACATTTTTAAGAAATTCATCTTTCTAATTAATATACCTGCAAAGGTATAAAATGGGATTATTAGTCCATTGTGGCATTATTGGCAGAACCACAGACTTAGACAACTGTCTATTAATAGGACACCAACTAGACAATGAAGTTGTATGAGCACATCAAGTACATGAAAACTTTCTATTCTCATAGGAACATCTCAGAAACTATTAATTTATAAAAACAACATACAAACAAACAAACAAACTGGAACCTAAGCATGCAATTTGGTACCAATTGTGTAAGAAGTTGTATGTGTGGAAAGAAGAATATAATCATTTTATAGAGGAATACATGTAGATAGATGGATGGGTGGATAGGTGTGTGAATATACAGACAGACAGACAGACAGACAGACAGGTGTATGATAGAAGAGACTAGCCATAGTTTCCTCTGAGACTCATGAGCAGAATGGAAACTTTGGCTCCTTCTTATTTTTGTCTTTAAACTTTGACTCATGGGAAAATAACATCTGGCAAAAGGATAAATTTTAGGAGAAGAAAATCTTTCTATATTGGCCGCCTACATTGTGCAAATCGTGCTGCTGACTTTGTAAAGTTTTTGGTTCAGAACCGGAGCTGCCACATGGAACGAGGTTCCTGGGTGGGTGTCTGCAGAGAGAGTTGCCCGTTCTATCGTGAGAAATAATGGCCCAGGCGCAGGCACCTGCTCTAGCCCATCTTGAGAGTTCTAACCACTAACTCTTCTGCAGCTGTTCATCATGTCAGGAAAATAACCAATTAGCCATCCGACAATTCAGGAAGCCTTGTATAACTCTGGGAAGTAGACGATCTCTTTTACAACTGTGATGAATTAACATTTAATTCCTTTCTCAGAGAGTCACACAGACCTCCCTCTACTCACTGCAAATGCCACCTAGCTGTTGATAGTCAACAGGATGAGATGCCAAAATCCTTGCTCTTGACATTGGAGAGGGGTCTCCGGTGACAAGAACCGACTCGAGTTGAGGAACCTGCTTGGGCTAAGTCCAAGATGCACCCTCTGCTTGCCGTCTTGCCGCCCGCCCCCCCACTCGGAGTCAGACGCACACCACAGGACTCTCTAAGTCAAATGTTGTAATTGCTTCCAATTTGTCTGTTTTGCTTTTGGCAATTAACAGACTGAAATGTTATCACGGAGGAGATCATCTCATTTATAAGACTAGCTTTTCCCGCCACTAAAATATGCAGCGCTCTGTCCTTCACTACCGGCAGGAGATAAATGGCTGGTTTTCGTTGCTGAAGAATATATAATGGTTAAAAAGTCACTTTTTTCCTCCAGCTCTACATAAATCACTGAACTAGTCAATATTTAATAATGCTTGCCTTGGTCTGGAGTCCCTTGATCACCCTGTCATGTGTAATAGCTCCCTCTCCGATAGCTTTGACATAAAAGCCCAGCTTTACTGAAATGCTAACATGTAGAGGGTCATTACGGATCGACATTTACCTTAATCTGTGACTGCCAACCATGAACCGATAAATTCCAGCAGATTCCACTGGGAGAAATCAGTAAACTTCTCAGTGGAAAGAAGTGGAAGAAAATTCTGCCGAGGACAGAATACATTTTCTACAAGGGCTGCTTAGCAAATGGATTCTGACTTTTGAAAGTTCTCTCGCTGCCCAGCTTTGCAACATTTAATACCGTTTTGATGGTTTGAGGGACGGGATGACAACCGAAGATGACAGGACTTAGAAGGCAAGCAGAAATGTTCTCTGCAAAAACAATGCAAGATTAAACACGAGGGGGAACACGGCTCCTGCATTATTCACCCGGCCGCCTTGGCGGAAATAGCCGGGCTGTCATGGGTCCGGCCTAAATGTTGCTTCTTTTTTCAAATCGATCATCACTCCTTCACCTCATAATCTTACGAGTGCTTCACAGCAGAATACATCAAAGCCCTGATTGCATAAAAAAGGGACAGGCCAATCTTTGAGGGGATCAGCTTAGCCTCTGACTTGGAGTCCATTCACTGTGCCTTTGCTTATTTCCTTACAGACACACTGTGGAAATTTAGGAATACCCTCTCCAAAGCATTAAAAAGTCTGTTTTTCTTTTTCTTTGTGCTTTTATGTGTATTGGGAATGCAATTAAGTCTTACAAGTAGACGTGACATAGAAACCAACATGATATCTGGAGGGGCGATCCTCTTTTTGCCGGAGCCTGCAACTACCCCTGCTACAGCTTTGCCTGTTTGGTCCTGGTTAGAAAAGATATTAAAAACCCTTCTGAATAGAATTAGTACGGCTTCCTTGGGGAAAAGTGACAAAAGAAACAGTTACTAGACAGACAAATTCAAGTGTCTTATAAGCCGCGTCACACAGTGCTCCCCTGGTGGGCTTACAATACCAGTCATGCTAAGCGAGCCCAACTTACTGAAACAGAGAAGTTGATGGTATTTTCGAGGAACCCCTAGCTGCCACACCCGAATTACCACTTTGGCAGAGAATTATGGAAATAACAACCAGAAATAACATACCTGGGATAGAATGCAAAATCGAAGCTGAAGTCTTTGCACAAAGAGTATTTTAGGCTTGGGCTGTGTTTAGGTAAGGAAAGGGCACACGGGGACTCTCCTCTGCTGGAGATCCAGTTCAGCACCCCTGAGGCTACTGCAAGCACAGACCATGCCACCCCCAGCTGTGTGATGAACTGCCCATATCTACAGCTATGTTTAAGTTATAAGTTAGACAGTCAGAGACTAATCAGAAGTAATAATTAAACCGAGCGATTGTATCAATATGATAGGTAGTAACCACGAACAACTTTCTTTTTTGAATCTTCTGTGTAATAGTGTTGTGTTGACTGAGAACAGGTGGCTGTAATTCTGCAAATGAAATCACCTTAGTCCTGTGACCCTGACCTGAGTTTGCACATAAGAACCACTCACTAAACATAGCTTCTCTAACTGATCCACGTTGGTTGTAGTTTTAGAGAAAATCCAGAAATGAAAATTAGGTTAAAAGCAAGTGTTCAGAAATAGGTAAAGCTTTCTGATATTATTGAAAGTGTAAGAATTGTACACAATTTACCTTGACTTGCATAGAAACTTCTGGTAAAAAGGACTAAGTAGGTTAAACATCCATTAGCGTGACGATGTACTTCCCAACTCACATGGGCTTCTCGGGGCCCCTCAGTTTTGACAGGCACATTGACCGTGCCTTCAGAAGGAACTTCTGGAGTCCAGCTTCCTGCCTGCAAGTATAAAAAGGTTCACTGTATTCACAAATAAAATAAGCGTAGGCTTTGATTTGGTAAAATTTCTTCAAAGAATCTTTTTGCTGCAGAGCAGACTACAGTGACAGGTAGCATCTTGTCAGAATACCTTGCTTCCTCAGCAGGATCAAAGTCTACCTCGTGTTTTCTTCCTCCCGCTGTGAAAGCTTAGACTTCTGGTCCCTGACAGAGGCTGTAGCTTGTCATTTCCAGAGGATGTTGATTGGCTCATGGTGAGCCTGTGCCCTGGGCATAACCACAGACTATTTCAGAACTGCTTAAGAATAACATCTATGTGATTGTAAAAGGAAGAGAGAAACACATGGGCTCCTTCCTTAAGTTCCCAATTTCCTGATGGGAGGACTGGACTCCTAGGTTTGAGAAAAAGCCACCCATAGCCTCTATACTCCCGCTCCCCCTCTCCCCTCTCTCTGTTTTTTTTTTTTTTTTTTTTTTTTTTTTTTTTTTTTTCGAGACAGGGTTTCTCTGTGGTTTTGGAGCTCTTGTAGACCAGGCTGGTCTCGAACTCACAGAGATCCGCCTGCCTCTGCCTCCCAAGTGCTGGGATTAAAGGCGTGCGCCACCTCCGCCCAGCTTCTCCCCACTCTCTGTTGTCGGAGCTGTGTTCCTCTTTTGCATGAAAACATGGCGCCACCAGATGAAGTTCCCCGAAGAAGCTATATCTATGCTAACTGATGCTTAACATAGGTTAAAAATTGACTAGGGTCTCTTACATTTGTGAAGCGTTGGGATATCTCGGGCTATCTTTTTTACTTTTTCCCCTAAATAGTCATTTACTGCCCTTGTCTGAATCTGATTCACATCTTCTTGACCATCAGGTGAAATCTCTGGAAAACATTCACTGAGCAGACCACAGGCCTCTGCCAATCCAAATGCCAGGATGTCATCAGGCAGCATCTGGGATCCGCAGCCGAATCTCTGGCTTTTCTGTAGCCTGCCTATTTCCTGTTCCCACCACTGTGTTCGGTGAATACCCGGATTCATTTATTTACTTATTCTTTGGTTCTGTGACTACAAAACATTCAAGAATGTTCTACGTGTAACATGTCACTCAGGGCAACCAGCATCCATGTTTCTGGGTCATGTTCATTCACATTTAGCTCAGAACAAACTGCCTCAGATTCCCCATGGAGTGAGGTTACACTCTGTTTGGACAGCTTCAGGATGACATGAAAAAATAAATGTACCATAGTGTATCTCACCGAGAAATAATCACATCAGTAGCTCACGCGATGCTAACCTGCCTGTGCAGAAATTGAAAAAGAAGGACATTGAAATAAAAACGAGTCTTACGAGACAAGGGTCAGAAATGGCTTGATAACAAGGGACTACAATGACCAAGTGTCCAAAGAAGATGCAGTTGTTGGCCAGAAAGTAGAAAGGGGCTCATAATATTTTTTATTATGCTTTAATCTCTGGCTAGAACTTGATATACCAAGTATCAGTGGACCATATTTGACTTTTCAATGTCTATTGAATATATAGGTAATTTTCACCATATTCTTTGTGTGTGCATGTCGGTGTGTATATGTGCAGGTGCATGCATGTGCAGTGTACATGTGGGGGGCCAGAGGTCAACTAAAGGTGCTTTTCCATAAGAGCCATCCGTTTTGGCTTTTAAGTCAACATCTCTCATTGGTCCAGAACTCATCCATAGGCTAGACTTGCTTGTTGGAGGTCCCTATGGTCTTTGCCTTCTGAGAGTTGGGGCGGTCACTGCACAGCACCACGTCTGGACTTTTCAACGTGGGTTTTAGGGAATCTGACAATAGGCCTCACGTTTTTAAAGAAAGCCCTTTGCCCACCATGCCCACAGCCCTGACCTTCGTGGTGCAGTACAAACAGGCTCATCCTTGCCACACAAGACGATGTTCAAGCCCGAGTTCCTGCCACCGGCAAATAGTCTCAATTATGAAGGCTTTATTTGTTAAGGTGAATACATTTTTCCAATTATGAAAACAAATGTGAAAAGGATTGAGTGTTAATTTTTAATAAGTGTGAGGCTGCAGATGTTTTATCTTTCTCAGAGAGAGGCTCTGGTTTCTTTGGAGCTGTGTTCTCTGCTTGTCCCGTGCTTCAGTCACGAACAGCTCTGTACAACAAGCCAAAAAAGCAAGACTGGAAAGAAATCATTCCTCGGTTTCATGTTTCATAATAATGTAGCTACTTTAGCTATGTCTCTGTGTACAGTTCCAGCCATTGTACAGAAAGGGGTTTGAAACAGTTTCCAACAAAATGATGCTTAAAAAAGTGAATAACCAATGCTAATTCCACATAACTCTATTAGTCACTTCAAACACCTGGTTAACTCAAGATAAATAGCTTCTTAGGGTTCCTTCAGTGCTTGAATAAACATTCTGGCTTTTACTCTACACTAAAATTGACAACTATATAATTTTTCTCCAATTAGAAGGGTTTTTTAATTAAAAAATGTTGCCTTAAAATGAATATTATGGAAAAGATTCCAAGAGGTAGAAGTTGATTGTGCTTTGACCTAAAATTTTTCTTTTGAAATAGGAAATAAATTTGACAACAAAATTGTGTGAAAGCACAGGACCATTTCAACAAAATTTCCATTCTTAACAAAACTCTTAACAGACTCCAGAAACCCTTAGGTAAGTAAAATTCCATTTAACTTTTCACTCCAACCTTTTAAAGATAGGCACCTTTAGGAAATCCAAAGCTTCGTCTAGCAACAATGCTTCCAAGAAGGAGCTGGATATAACAGGCATAGGGTAGCTTCCCTTGCGCTGCCCAGGATCTTCAGAAAACCACACCTGTGTTAATTTTCCTTTACCGATTTATTTTCTTAGTTTTAATCACGTGCTGGTGTGTGTTGCAGTGTGTGGGCATGTGCACATGAGTACAGGAGCCCACAGAGGCCAAAAGACATTGTCAGTTTTGCTGGCCTGGAAGCTGTGAGCAACCTGATGTGGGTGTTGGGAGCCAAACTCAGGTTCCCCGCAAGAGCAGCCATTGCTCTTAAGCTCTGAGCTATCCCTTCAGCCTTGAAAGCATTTTTTTTTTATATTAGAAATACTTCAGAAGTCAAATGTGTTCTTTAAACGGACAATAACGGAACAAACCACAGGGGAATTAGATGGAATAGGGCAATTCTGCCTTAATCACCCCAAATAGCTCCCCTCGGTCAGGCTGGGAGGACAACACCCATTGAGCTATCAAACCCTTACTCTATCAAAACAGTAAGAATGTGGAGTTGATGCACGAATGATTCATTTTTAAAACCCCTATTTTACCAAATTTGTGCCATTTTATTTTCATCTTAAGGGTCATTTGCCCGTGTGAAGTGTGAGTGATGCCACACCTAAGACTCGAAGCGTATTTGTCTAAGGGCGTGCGGAGTGGCATTTTTCTGCATGCATGGCTAACAACGCTATGAAATTGGCAAAAGATGTAAGAACAATTCAGTTTATTTCTGTCTCTAAAATGTAGAAGTCATTATTAAGGATGGGCCAAGTACAGGGAGGGAAGAGAGAGAGAGATAAGTGCCACGTGGAGGAGGTGGTTTTGTGAGCCACACGAGCACCGAGACTGGAATGGATGGGGACCTGGCAGGGCTGAGTTTACAACCCAATTCTCCTTCCCCTTTGTATCAGGGGCTGTGGTTGATTTCTAAGGTTAACACTGCCTGCCATCTGTACTGAGCAGAGATCAATAACTGTGTCCCCTTGCTTAAGGTTTCTAGACTATCTTGAAGATGAGGTGGGGCAGCTAGAACCACGAGTCACAGTTTACACTGGGAAAAAGCACAAGGCTTTAAGCTCATAAGAATATTTCTCTGTTTTGATATATATTTTCCCTCTCCCTCTCTCTCTGTTTCTCTCTCTCTGTGTCCCCCTTTCTCTCTCTCTGAATGGAGAAGTGTTGGCCTTTTGCCATTCCTGCTTTTATAGGTTAGTATCCATCAGAGGGGTCTGCACAATAAAGACTTGATAGCAATAATGATGCAAGTTCCATATCGGCACTATTCTGTTTTAGCTTCTTGGAAAGCAACCAATCTCAGATGGGTTGGGGGGATGTCATCAAAAGTAAGGGATTACAAATTAAATTGAAGAGCTGGGTTTTTTTTTTTGTGGTAGTATTTATATAATATACTCTTCAATGAAGACAGAGCGCATTAAAATGATAGGGAATTAGCAAACATTGCCAAAAATACCTATGAGTAATTTTAATAAACTGAGTATTTCTCTGAAAAAGAAGCTAACTCTATTTAATCAAGAAAAATATGTAAAAGTGTAATGTATTATTTTATACTAAATAACTCTATGCTGGTCTATGGCGGGCATATACGGTCAACTGGACATGCAGAATGACGTTGGAAAGCTAAGGATAATTTTTTCATGCTTTTAGCTATCAATGAGACAGAGATACACATTACAAACTTCTGAAATGTAAGGATCAAGCCCAGGTATTAATACAATTTTAAATACCAATCTTATAAAGCTGTATCAGATTTATAAAATAAAAATAGTTTATTTAAGAGATGAAGTAAGTACAATCCTTTGATTTATCTGCTTGTTGGACAGCAATATAAGCATCTTCTGGGAATTACAGTTTTCAATATTTATTTTTTAATCATAAATGTAATTATTGGGGCATAATTAAAAAGAAAACATGTATCTTTCATTTATAATCAAAGTAGAATTATATATATGTCTATTAAAGCAGTCAACTTGTTGCTTATTTATATATATATATATACATATATTTATGAATATATGTATTCTTTCCCCGGAGGACACAGTCCTGATATGTACATTGAACCAAACACAACTTTTAAATGAACTTTAATAAAAGGAATAATTTGCTCTTGTACTTGGTAGGCTATCTGCCACATCCCAGAATATAAATTCATAACTCACCAATGGGCCCAGAGCACAACCCTTGGCCATGCATGCTTGGAACTGGAAGGTGTGTGAGCTCCCAGGATCAAATCCATAGGCAAGACCGCTGAGTTCTGAAGATTTGTGAAGGAGTGCATCGTCCAGATATAGGCTGTGAGCTGTAATCACACCCGGGAAGATGACAATCAGCTGTTAGAACGGCCCCAAGACAACAGTGAGGAGCTAGTAAAGCAAGCACCCCTCCCCCCGTGCTTTCCTGAAGTCGCCCATCACCCACCCTGTTCTGAAACCCACCCTGCCCTGCACACCCACCCTGCCCTGCACACCCTCTCTGCCCTGCACACCCCCTCTGCCCTGCACACCCCCTCTGCCCTGCACACCCCCTCTGCCCTGAACACCCACCCTGCTCTGCACACCCACCCTGCCCTGCACACCCCCTCTGCCCTGCACACCCCCTCTGCCCTGAACACCCACCCTGCTCTGCACATCCACCCTGCCCTGCACACCCCCTCTGCCCTGCACACCCACCCTGCTCTCAATGCTGCCTCTTCTCAAAGAATAAGGCATACTTTACTTTAAGCAACACTATGTTAAGCTATTTGTAACAGAGAGACTGATAGAATCTAAGACTCTAGAAGAGAAAGTCTTTGCTTGAGGCCATACCGAGTGCTATCGTTTATGTTCCAGGCCAAAAAGGCAAAGTGTACACATTCATACACGTATTTATATGGATTCTAAAAGCATCCTTAGTAGATTCCTTGGCTATAAGGGAACCTTACTTGCTACGGTATTACATGTTACTCAGGATCTGTCACTGTGCTTAACCCTTTCCTCACTGCCTGCCTGAAGGAGGGAGTTATTTTTTATTTTTTTATGATTTTACTGAGCTATACATTTTTCTCTGTTCCCCTCCCTGCCTCTTCCCCCTTTCAACATTCTCCCAATTTACTCAGTAGTTTTTTTTTTCTACTTCCCATGTAGATTAGATCCATGTATGTCTCTCTTAGGGTCCTCATTGTTGTCTAGGTTCTCTGGGATTGTGAATTGTAAGCTTTTATTTTTGCTTTATGTCTAAAAGCCACTTACAGGTATAAGATGGAATCTCAGAGTTGTTTTGATTTGCATTTCTCTGATGGCTAAGGATGTTGAGAATTTTTTTAAGTGTCTTTTACTCATTTGAGATTCATCTGTTGAGAGTTCTCTGTTTAGGTCTGTACCCCATTTTTTAAATCATATTAGTTGTTCGTTTGATGACCAATTCCTTAAGTTCTTTGTATATTTTGGAGATCAGCCCTCTGTCTGATGTGGGGTTAGGGAAGATCTTTTCCCATTCTGTAGGCTGTTGTTTATCTTGTTGACCATGTCCTTTGCGTTACAGAAGCGTCTCAGTTCAGGAGGTCTTATTTATTAATTGCTTCTCTCAGTGTCTGATGGAGGGAGTTCTATCATTAGCCCTCTTTTACCTGAGAAGAAACAGGAATGGAGTTGATGCGAGTTGCCCAAGCTCACACAGCAGCAGGTAAGTGCTGGACTTAGCATTTGTCTTTAAGAAACAGGAATGGAGTTGATGCGAGTTGCCCAAGCTCACACAGCAGCAGGTAAGTGCTGGACTTAGCATTTGTCTTTAAGTGATTTGACTGTATCTTCTCTCCAACGTTACCTCATCCACTAGCTAAACCCTGTTCTCACATTCTGCTCAGACTGGATTTGTTGTAATTGGAGTGGAGCAGTGGTGGGCTGCGTTCCTGCCACCCGGCTAGCTCTTCCCGAAATAATTACACGGAAACTGTATTCTTTTAAACACTGTTTGGCCCATTAGCTCTAGCCTCTTATTGGCTAGCTCTTACATATTGATCTAACCCATTTCTAATAATCTGTGTAGCCCATGAGGTGGCTTACCAGGGGAGATCTTAACCTGCGTCTGTCTGGAGTGGGAGAGTCATGGTGACTGCCTGACTCAGCTTCTTTCTCCCAGCATTCTGTTTTGTTTACTCCACCCACCTAAGAGTTGGCCTATCAAATGGGCCAAGGCAGTTTCTTTATTAATTAACCAATCAATGAAAGCAACAGATTAGAAAGAAATCACTCCCACATCATGGATTAGAAGCGCTTCTGACAGGCCAGTTTCCATGATCAACTGAGAGTCTATATTAGAAGGAAAGTCATGCAGCTTTTCATAAAATTAGTATAAATCAGGGAAAACGGAGTGGCCATCAACTGAAAGGACTCAAGCCACATGTTCTTAAGAAAAGGACGGTAAGAGTCAGCATAATTGAGTTCATTAGAAATATTGACTGCCCAAGCTTACTTAACGTTGCACCATGGGAAACAAAGTCTGACCATGTTAAATCAGAACTGCTATCAAGCTGAGGTTAATTTCTGGAAGTCCCCGCTGAGTCCACTCCCCAGGAATCACGCTAAGTGGCCATGAGAACACACCCTTAGCTGGATGCTCCCTGTAGCCTGCGATACAGCTCTATTCCTGCTTTTAATCATTCATCCCACTATAGTGTTACTAAGCCGTGTTTAATTGCCTGTGTTCCCCAGCAGACCATAGGCTCCCTCAAGGAAGCATGACATTCCTCATCTGTTTATTTCCGAAGCTAAGCAGCATTCCACGTCAACCATGGACAGAGTAAATAGGTTCACAGGCAGCACAGGAAAACAGCCAGCACCTGATAGAGAGTGGCAGTTCAGAACCCTTGGAGGAAGAGATGCCTCCTGAAAAGACAGCGGGGAGAACATTACGAAAGAAGAGCTCCAAGAGCAAACTTGGAAGAAGAAGTGCAGCTAAGCCAAGGGCCGCAAGGAAGTCACTGAAGGTTGTTTTCCAGGAGCCAGAGAGATTGGGGAAGTATAGTAGAGTAGACCCAGCCTTCATCCGTGGGCAGTACTGTTAGCTGTGGAGCTACAGTACCAGGACTTCTTTATTCTAGCACGTATCTGTCCTGGGAGGGAACGGCTCGCCTCCATCTAGACCTGCTCACAGCCGTTTGCCTCCCATACATTTTATAAGAATTCTTGTTGGCCTTTGGCACAACCTCTCTATTTTTTTTTAAATTTGAGTGTGTGTGTGTGTGTGTGTTGCACAATGTCCTGTATTTAATTCACAGCATCAAAACACATCAGTAATCCAACAAATGAACAATTCCTTATATATAACACCCTCTGTCTTTTATACCTTGCTAATTTTGTTTTTCATAAAAAATACCTATTGATAAGTATATTCGTTTAGGGTCTAGTATTTTTGAATAAGTTATTATTTTAATGCAGTTCTTGTTATGGCCTATTTTTTCCTTCTTAAGGACAACTTTTTATGTTGGACTTTGTGAGTTTCCTCAGTTTCTATGTTTTGAGGAAGCAGTCCTATTTTCCTACCAGGCACCATTTGAGCCTCCAGAATAAGTAGGTACTTTGCCTGTGCTAGCATCCATTCTCCCTTGCATCTAGTGGTACCCCATCTAGAACACTGATGGATGTAATAGCACCTAACAAACAAAAGCTCATGTGAACTCCTCTGTCGAGGAAACCATGGACAGTGAACAATAAACCAGGAAATACACAGAAAACCAAGGGAAGAGAGTAAGATGGAGCCTCAGCGATAAGAACAACCAAAAGTGAGAGTATTCTAGGAACTACAGAAAACACTCATTTAGTACCTTAACCCTCCCATCTCCCAAATAACCCATGTGCATAACAGATACTCTTAAAAAGGAGCTGAGATTCTGGCTGATTTCAACAGAAGTAGAAAATACTCAAATTGACATGGCCCTTTCCTAAACAACTACAGGACAGGGAATTTCTTCTGCTCAAGGGTCCCATGCACAGCATCTCGTTTATCTGGCACGCTGGGAAGTAAGTATTTTATAAAAAGTAAATTGTAGCTATAAGTAATTGAAATTCCTTAGCACAAACTTCAAATTCTTTGTCATTTTTAAAGAAGATTTAGGAGTAGATTCTAAGCACTCACCGGTTTCCTCACAAAGGATATAAGTGAATCATTTTGGGAAAAGTTAAGTTGTGGTTGTGGTCAATATAGAATCTGTTCTCAAATTTAGTGATTCTTGGGGGAACACTAGGGGCCTCCAAAACTTTTGCCCTCAGCATCACTTTCCAGTCCCTTCTCACCATTTTTTTCCTGCTTGTCTTTTGAATTCTTCATCCTCTTTCAATGACAGCTACTCTGACTTACTATTTTTCTGTCTACCTGACTCCATCAAGTCAACCCCAGACATTCATGCCAAGAAACTGGGTATCTATGACATATGTTGAGAGAGGGCTTCCACGAAGATGGGATGAGGGGGATAAACTGTGATAGAATTGAGCATTTTGACAGTTAAGTCAAATATGCAGAAATGTTAGTACCCAGCTGTGACATGGAGTGGGTGAGGCTGAAGTCTAACTTTAGTGTACAGTGTTCCCACACATTAATACACACACACACACACACACACACACACACACTCACACACACAGAGTTACCATGTGTTCTAGAGACAACCCATACCTGATGGCTAAAAGAGTAAAAGATAATTGCAGCACTTTGCACAATGGGTAAGTTAGGTTTTCTTTAAGTCACTTAAATTCTTCCTGATACCTCCCCCCTACTTTCATCTACCAGTTGACTCTATTTCAAATTCCTCTCCACCTTACTTCCATGGTCACCTAGTCTTTTCTAACGTTATCTAACAATACTTCAGGACAATGGCCACTTAGGTGCGCCCGACGTGATGGGCTAAATCCACTTAAAAACCTGAGAAGGCTTAAAAATAAGGGAGAGAGAGTTTAACACAGATTTTTGCTGTTAGTGGGTGGCATGCTGTAGAGAGATTTCCTGATTCGGCAACAGCAGCAGAAAAAATGCTGTGTCATTTTAAAGCCCAGCTTCTTGGGGCTGTGCAGCCAGCGTGAACTCTGGCTTTAAAGCATTTCAATGGCTTTTATGGGACTGGATGTTTGTGTTCCCACTTGGGATCAGAAGGAGAGTGCTCTGAGACTGTGCTCAAAGCTCCCAGCCTGCACCTGAGCAGACAACAGAATCAGGCATAGGCAGCCAGAAGAGCATGGCAGATTCCTGCCCCCATACAGAGACGGGTTTTCAGATTGCACAGTTCTCTGCGTGTCAGATTTGGATGTAACTTGGATGAAAAGAGTTTCTGTACTGCACACTC